ATATTAAAAAATTATCCAAATCGGCGATTTACACTTGGGTAGTGTTACTTGCTAGTAGCAGAACTTTAAGACGTTTATTGCAAAAAGTTCCAATACACGCAGGCATAAATAACATAATATTTTTGCATCTTTCTCATCAACAATCGTTAATAACAAATGTTATCGATAAATTATGTATTCTCATGTGGGATGAAATTTCGTTACAACCTCACCTACAATACGACAAGATAAAAAAATAATTGGTTTTGAAGACTGGGGTCATAAAAGAACACAAAGAATAGCTGATCATGCACTTGTGTTTATGTTAACAGGTATAAGAACCGTCTGGAAAATACCATTGTCATATAATTTTTTCAAAAGCCAGACCAAAACTCCACAATTAATGCGTTGTATTAAAGAAATTGTCCATGAAATTACAAAGGCTGGGTTTATTATTGTTGCAACAATATGTGACCAAGGGTCCTCAAACGTGATTGCACTTAACCAGTTCTTAAGTGATTCAAGAAGTAACTGTTTAAAAAAAGGTGAACATATTGGTAAGTAAAAATGCAGTAGATGAAATTATATCATAATGTAACATGTATAATAATACACATAACATTATATTTGCAGATGAAACAATTATCTTGGATAATCAAAAGATTATTGTGTTGTACGATCCTCCACATTTATTGAAAGGAATACGGAATAATTTTCTTGAGAAAGATATTGAGATTATGATAGATAAGGAGTCAAACGTAAAAGGAATTGCTTTGTGGAATATTATAGAAACTGCTTATAACCTGGATATTTATAGCAATATATTCAATCGTCAATTAAGAAAAATAACGGATCAACATATTAAAAAAAATAAAATAAAGAAAATGAAAGTTAAATTGGCAGCGCAAATTTTTAGTGCAACTCTGTCAACATTTATTGAATACAACAGCAAAATAAAAGATAACTCCAATTTTTTACGCGCGAATATAGGTTGGAAAATATGTAAAATAAAAATAAAGACTTGCGCATCATTTATCGCGCTTGGTTAGCCCGGTTTCTATATTCGTGGATTTTCATTGGAGCCTGTACTTCAAATTTCAAATTTTTTAATATAGATTTTTTGATTAATTAAATTTAATAATTTAATAATTTAATAAAAGCGCCGCTTGTTGAAGTATAAAAAATTAAAAAAAAGAAAACTCCCAAGCTCCCCAAGCTTGACGACCAATTTCAAATTTAATTTCTGAACAAGAGGATACGTGTTTTAAGATAATGATACTGAGGTCATGCAGAGTGCCATTAAGTGGCGAGATAGCCCAGTTTCTCCGCACGAGCCCCACTCGTGCGGGGGGTGCAGTTTGGAATATAAAATATCCTGTGGTCAGGTGGACTCGAACCCGGGTCCTCGGGATTACGAGTCTGGTGCTTTACCACAAGACCACACTGCCACCCTCTTGTACCTCACATACATTATATACACATATTACATGTACAAATTTCAATTTTTTATACTTCAACAAGCGTGAATCATATAAAACAAAAGTAGATTGAAATTTATTCTATAATAAATAATAGTGAGAATACTTCGTCTGAGATTACGCGTCACGTGAGCGATCGGCGGCTCGGCCGCTGAGCCTCAAGCGGTAATGGGGGTATAGGAGGCGTCGCATCGGGAATCGGCCCGAAATGTGCAACTAAATCCCGGTCATTAATATAATTATTAATTAATATAATTAAATTAAATATCTTTCTTTAAATATCAAAAATATATAAAAATCCAGAAGAAATTAATAAAATATCTGTATTTAAAGATTATATAGATACAAACATCGGACCCTTACGAATACCAAGGGAAGAAGGATTTGCAACAGCCAAAATTTTGGACTTTTTCAACAAATTATTTGATTCCGTTAATGGACAGAAGATTAAATCAGATACACCATTGCGAAATGCTGTAACAAGAAATAGTGCACACCATTCTTTCTGGTATGATGCTATTAAAGAATTTCAAAATATTAAATTTATTGATAAAAAGAAAAAAAACAGTATATACTCCATCTTTGAATAACTGGATAACAACTATTAAAGGATTTCAAAAATTATGGGCGACTGTAAATAAAGCAGGGATGAAATGTTTAAAAACTCGTAATATTAACCAAGATCCACTCGAAAATTTTTTTGGGATGATCAGAAATCATAATCGGCGAAATATTAATCCTACATGTTCTAATTTTGAATCATCTTTTAAAACATTATTAATAAACAATTTAAGAGGTAAACACAGTATAGGCAGTAATTGTGAAGAGGACATTAATGGAAAAGCTTTATTTTTATTGCAATATTTTGTAGAAAATAGTTTACGTACAGTAAATACTTCAAATACGGAAATTGAAGAAGTAGCAGAAGTTGACAATACATCAACTTCACAGGATAACGAATGGATTAGTAGTGGTGGATTAGTTCATAACGATATCAGTGCCAAATTATTTTGCATGGAACCTTTTAATAGTTGTAATATGTGTAAAGATATTTCAACACAGGAAATAGAAGCTGTTCTACATAGAGCTTATGATATGTAAAGATAAAATGCCATCTGTATGTTTTCGTATTAATGTACATAAAAATTTAAGTACTGTTATTAAAGATACACTAGATTTTTTATTTTTTAAATGTAAAGAACATAATTCAGATTTTATTAATATTTTTA